ATTGGCACTCCGAATTCCTTTGATTTGGGAGGGATGATCAGGTAGCTGTGGTGTAATAGTTCTGGAAGAAGAATCACATCGATAGCCCAGCACTTTGTCATCATGTTGAACCTCAAGCATCACTGGTGGGCGATAAAATTCCAGGGAAAGAAAATTCATTGGTCGGCTTTGGAAGGATGCGAGCTGTGGGCAACGGTGCTTGAAGTCGAAGTCCCCATGCATATCGCTGACGTAGGAGGGAAGGTACCGTAGTCACCACTTCAGAGCGAAAAGATGCTGCGGATTCACGGCATAGCGAAAAGACATCTCCCGAGCAAAAGGTCTTCCGCATCAGTATGGCAAACAGGGACGGACAAATCACATGTGCGCGGGAGGGGAAATGATCCGCGGGGATTACAACCCACGATGACAGAGAAGCCACGGTGCGCTGCAACGATGTCGATGACCAATAAGCACGATCTTGAAGGTTAGCTCGATGAGTGTCCATCAACTGAGTCAAAACCGGCTGCAGATCAACAAGAAGACTGGAACCATGCACATGCCAGCGACGAGCAAGTTTGCGAAGTTGCGTAGTGAAACGTTGATGTAACAAGTCGACATCACCGAAATACTGATCCTTCATTGACGCGGCCATGATTTCCATGTCAATGTCCGCATTGATGCGTGAGAACTCATCAACCATTACAGCATGTCCATGTGCTCGGTGTATATGGTGATCATCGATGTCCAAACAGCGACACGGAAAAGATGTTTCAGGAGTCCATCTGCGCTGCCATGTGCGGTAGTTGTAGATCTTGTCGCCCAACGTGGCACTGCGAGTTTCCACCACCCGGATCTTTGGAAGGAAAAGGGAGGGAAACAAATCACGATGAGAAGTAATCCAGCTTTGTAACCATGTGCCAAGTAGAGCTTTCCAATTCCGGACATGTAGAGGCGGTAGGAGTAGTTGTGTCAAAGTGGTGGGTGATTGTAGCTGTCGTTTGCGTAACACCTGGGCGAGGAGTTTCTGCGCCTTGGAGCGGAAGGGCTCGTTGACAAAGACGGAGAGCCGCAGAAAGTAGTAAAGCTGAGTAGGAGGGAAAGCTGCCGACAGAAGGTCACGCATGGCTTGGAACGATGCACCTGTATTGGATCCCAGCTGATAGAGAATAGAGTAATGGGCCTGAATGTCATCCAGCATGTCGGGACGTAGTTGCCGTTGAAGATCCGGATGTAGTCGTCGTCGAAAGCGTTTGTGCAAGCCGAGGGAAGTGGGAGACGACAACGAGTGACGTCGAAAATCAACGAGGTGTTCCCGGAAGCCCACCTTTCGCAGAAGTCTGTGTACCCAGGGTGCATTCAAATGCGGGCGTAGCAGGTATTGCCATTTGCTTTCCTGGACCCAAACCGAGGAAACGGGAAGTTTGATCTCAACCGGAACAGCACAGAAGAGCCAGTAAGTATTGGATCGCTTCCAGTAGTGAAGCGCGGGTTCGAAGAAGGCATGACGTCCCGAAGTAGTTGTAGAAATTTGCGACTGCGTGAGTGTTCACGTCGTAGAACATCCTGATCAGTCGCACCAACGTAGTAAGGTGTGTGCCATGGGGAAAGTCGGATGTAGACGCACGGTTGTTGATGATGACCTGGATCGTGAATGAAGTCATAGAGGTCCGGAAATCGTGCTCGCAATGAGCGAAGATGTCGCGTGTCGGCAAAAGTGGAGTGCATAATTTCACACAAGAGAGAAGCCTTGTAGAAGTGAAGGACTTCAAAGAACGGCGGAAAGTAGCCATGATCTTGGGAAATGAGACGTTGTAAGAAACTGATCAATAAATAGGCAGTGCACCGACATCTATGACATCTATGAATCTCATACCTGTTGGCCACAGTGTGTTGAGAGTGTGACATAGCGTGATTCGGAATCTGAAGGGCAATCCGGACCACAACTAAGACTTCCAGAATGAGGCCCAACCACGGTAGTTGTGTGATTGATTCGTACTCACCAGCTGGTATCGACGGTGGTGGTAGTCCAGGGAAGCAGTATTGCCAGCACGTAGAGAACATGGTCAACGAGTGTAAAAAGTTGCCCAGAGACTGCCATTGTGCAACATCATCATAGATTCCACAGCGGCGAAGCTCATCCAACATGGTGAAAATGCAACCAATGAAATCTACCATAAGGCGGCGACATGGATACAAGCTGCACAGACAATCACGCACAAGGCAATGCAAGCACAACCAAGCACAAGATCAAACTGATGCAACGCAAAAAGATGACGGACGAGTTTTAACCTTGACTCATCCGTGACACGGTTGCCGCTCCGGGCTCATAAGAGAACGAAGGTCGTTAAGATGCCTGCTCATCCGCTGAGTAAGCGAGCGGTCACGATGAGGTGACTCAATGCCTTCTCAGTGAGCTTGGTGAGATAGCCGGGCTCCAGTCCCCACGAAGCCGCCATCGCCCCGAGAGTAGGTGCGTCGCCTTTCGGCATGCGTTGACGCGCTTGAAGGAGCTGCGTCGCCATGGAATCTAATGACTTGTTGCCGTTGAGCCGGGACGGGTGATTGGCCCACTTGACCAGTGACGTCAAAGTTGTGGTTGTGGGCGATTGCTTGAGATAAAGGCGTGGCTGGTCACTGGTCCATGTGTAGTACTTGACAACTTCTTCCGGCGTGCTGTGCATGGTGAGCACTTGTGACGCCGCCGGCTTGGACGGCGGTGAAGACACTCCGTGAAGAGACTGAATGATCCGGGGTTGCACCGCGCTATCAAACGACTTGCCATCAAGGGCCGCTGCGCTGGCGGTAGGGAGGGAGCTGGCAGGTGACGAGGATTGTGTGTGGTTGACCGGTGGCGGTGTAACCAACTCTGCATCATCTTTCTGGCTTGCCATCGTGGGAGAGGTCGAAGCGCGCAGCGATGCTGAATACTGAGCCTGGAGCAGCTCATGCGCACGATTTGGATCATTGTACTTCTTGACCATGTCATCTGTCTGGGTGGAAGGTGTGAGAGAAGCGTGGTGTTGCTGAAGAAATTGAAGTACCAAGCTGGCCAAATGGTCATGAACCTTGATCCGCTGATTGAAGTCATCGATGTTGAGACCCAGCGAGTTGGCAAGGTCCTTTTCCAGGGTGAGCAGGTTGATCGACTGTGATCGTCGTAGTAGTTTGGAACAGGTACTCCAAAGTAAGGCCTCTGTGCGAGTGCGAAAGCCTTCCCATGTCACGAATCTGCCGTGAGCGAACGGTCGGAGCAGCCAGTTGGTGAGGCCCCCATGAATAACCTGAACCAGGCGAACGTCACGAATATCCATGCCTGACATGTCGCGCAGGTTGCCATGCGGAGTGTTGGCAACGTTCATGGGCAGGCTGAAGTTGTAGAGCTGATTGACATCAAACATGCCCTCTCCAGGTGTCCAGTCAGGCTATGGTGTAAGCCAGGCTTTCTGAGGACGAACCGGTAGAGCCGCAGGAGGTCCAGGTGGCGGTGTAGGTTGCGGGGTAGTGACCGGTGGTGGCATCACGGGTGGCATGAACTTCGTTGGCGTGGGGTCTGGAGGGATCGGCATCATGTAGTTGATTGCTGGATGTTGGAATTGCTGTGTGGGACTATGAGTCGATTGAAAATTGGTGGGCATCATCGGGAAATTGTTGGCAGAGTTGTAGCCGGAATTGTGTTGCCAAGATACCAGGTTGTTCCAATCCATGCCTTCCGAGACGTGGTGGTCATTGTGTTCACGTCGGTGTGCTTTACGCGCCTGAGGAGAAGTACTCCGATCACGTCTGCGCCGAGTCCTGGATCTATCACGATCTTCACGTCGAGACATGGTTACACAATCGACTCTCAATCTTCACGCTTCCATCTTGAGAGACACGTATCAGACAACAAGCAAATCCATGCAACGGCAAGGTATCAACGAATCCAACAAATGGCAAGCAAACATCGATGGTGAGACGTCTCTATGATCTGACCGCTGTCTTCCCTTTAGTGAGACCTCGTTCCTGGTTAAATGTGAAATTCCGCTGTTCTATGATAAGCACGTTGAGGTCAATTTTTCCGACAGAGCCGGCCCGGGGTCACACAATGGGTACACCCGA